TGCTTTTTTTTTTTTTTTTTTTTTAAAGATTTATTTATTCATACAGAACTGGGGTACAGGCCAGAGATGCTGAGGGTGAGAGGATTCACCAGAGACAGTGAGGAGCAGAACAGGCAGATCAACGAAGTACACTGCTGAGGGGAGCAGTGGGCCGGCCAGGAGAGGTCTGCCACGCCATGTGGTCACCTCTGGGGCAGGCGGGGATCGAACTCATGCGGAAGTGGCTTAAGCTTCTTAGTGCTGTGCTTTAACCCGCTGCACCACCAGGGAGGGACCTGGCTGCTTTTTTAATCTAAAAAGGTTACCTCTCACCTCAGGGAAGTCTGACTGGGCTTCTCTTTGTGCCTACCATTTACCGAGGGTAAAGTCTGAGCGTAAGGAAAACCTTATTCAGAAGCATTCTTTATCTTTTCTGTAATGAACTTTGCATCCACATAGTCTGAAATTTGTCTGGATTCTTTAGATCCAGGTGGTCTGAGCTTCATATTTTGTACTCTGTAGTTATGTAGTCTTTACAGGGGCCATGTCCAAGGTGGGTGAGAAATGCCAGCACCATTCTAGATGCTCTTGGAAGGTAAGGATTAGACCTAAATTAAAGGGGATCATATTGCATTACCTGCACAGTGCTTCCTTCTCCACAGCTCCTGGCCCCTGCCACTCTCTTAAAACCACATTGCTCCTGCTGTGGCCTGGCCATCTCTAGCAGAAACTATTTCAACCTTTCTCTCTGGAGAAGCCCAACTCATTCAGTAGGAGCCATTCAGAATCTGGGCAAGTTTATATAAACACTCTAAGTTCTGTAGTTCATAGCTTTGCTCTTCTCATATAAAATGTAAAAATCTAATATCCTCCTGCCTGACAATGTTGGTTTGCAGAACCACTGGGATTGTGTTTGTGAAAATTATTTTATAATTGCTAGGGTACCACATGGACATAAATAGGCAATCTTTGCGTTACCTAAGGGCAAGGAAGTGTACTGTAGAGCATCTCCGTCTTAAGATATCTCTGCTTTCCTAAGCTTATACTCTCTCCCTATAGGAAGAGCCTATAGAAACATGACACTTTAATTATAATATGGCAGATACTAAAGTTAGAGAGAGAAGACTGCATAGGATATTTTGAGAAAAAAACAAAAACAAAAAACAACTTAATCCAACCAGAACATACAGAGGTTTCTTGGAAGAAATGATGCCTGAGCTGAATGTTGACAATTATATTGTACTTTAGTTAATACTGTGGATTGGTGGGGTAACATTCCAGACCAGACAAAAGGAAGGACATACATGAAAGACTAGAAGCATAAACAATTGGAGTGCATTCTGTGATGTTGGAGAGCTAGGTACTAAGAGTAGAAAAGAGAGGAGTCTGTTTATATCATACTGTCTAACTTGGATTATATCTTATCAATAGGAAATGAACCTTTTAAAAAGTAACAGCTTTTTTGAGATGTACCTCACACACAATAAAACTTGCCTTTTAAAGTATATACTTGTATGGTTTTCAGTATGTCGACCATCACTACTATCTCATTTCAGAAATTTCTATTACCCAAAAAGAAAACCCCATACCTGTTCTTCCCATCTCCTTTCAATCCTTGGCAACCATAAATCTAATTTTGGTTTCTATGGATTTGTTTATTCTGGACATTACATATAAGTGGAGACATACAATGTGATTTTTTTTCCTTTATAAGGTATTTTTTTAATAATATAATAACAAAGTGAAATTTTTAACTTTTAAATAGGGGAGTAACAGATTTGTATTTTATGAAGATCAGGCTGGCAGGAATGAGAACGGTGGAATATGGAGACCAAGTCTGGAAGAATAGTGCAGTGTTCAGGAGAGGGATGAAGATCTGAACTAGGGCAGTAGTTGTGGGAGTGAAGAGGGAAAATCAGATTTGAAAAATATTTAGAAGTTAAAGTTGGTTGGAATAAAAGTAGATAAATTAGGATGAACCTCAATTTCTAACTTGGCTTTCCACTCTCTGCAAAATAACTGCACTACCTAACATAAAAATAAATACAGCTAGTGTTTTAACTTTTTTTAAAAAAAGATTTATTTATTTATGCATACAGAACTCAGATATAGGCCATAGGTGCAGGAGCAGTGAAAGGATTCACCAAAGACAGAGTGGGGAGCAGAATAGGCAGATCAACGAAGTATACTGCTCAGGGGAGCAGCGGGCGAGACACGACAGGTCTGCCACACCATGTGGGTCACCTCCCTGACTTGAGAGTGAACTCAAATTCATGCTGAAGTAGCTGCAGCTAGCTTCATGGTGCTGTGCTTTAACCCACTGCACCACCAGGAAGGGCCCTTAACTTTTGGGGAGAAAAGATGAATTCAGGTTTACATATATAAAGTTTAACATGAGTAAACCATTAAGGGGAGATATTCACAAACAGATTAGATGTGCAGGAGGAAAAATGTCAGGGCTAAATATATACATTTGGGAGTCATTAGTACAGAAGTGGTAACCAGAAAAGGAAGCATGGAATAGTCTCCTGAATAGAGCATAAGAAACGCCAATATAGGGCCAATATAGAACCCCAAGAGCATTAACTTCTGGGATGGGAAGTGGCTGCTTTGAATTCTGCAGAAGAGTCAAAGGCAGAGTTGGATATCTAGAATTGTTATGTCATAAAAGCCAAGAGAAGAGAATTTAAAAGGAGCAGAAATAGACTAACTAGCCTCTACTAGCTAGTGTGTTAAGTCTGTGACCACAACTGCTTGTTCTCTGTACACTCAGTACTGATAGGATCCTCAGATCACATATAAAAGCAGTGAAGGAAATGATCATATGTGAGGTGAACATGATAACCACTTTCCTAGGGAAACAGGGAAGTAAGTATCAGTGTCAAAAGAAAAGATTAATAGGACTAATTTCTTTATAAAACTTGATGTCATACAACTCATTGGATCCTCAGTGATAATACTTCCAGTAGAAGCCTCTGAGGAATGAGTGGGTGATGAGGAAGTGAAACAGCCACGTGTTGCCAGCTGAAATGCACTAGGCTGATCCGTTAAGGGCAGTCTCAGGAGTTTCCTAGATAACCCCTTAGTAGATAATATAACCCAGAGCAACTCCTTATTTTCTTTTTCATCTCATAAAGTTTAGCTTTTTTGGTTTTCAGTATTCCATCTTTGTCTTTGGCTCCTATACCCAACTATTGGATGTGGAGAAATAGAGGGCAATGGTCACACTCCAGAGACAGACTGGGTTAAGCAGCCTTGATTTATGTTGTGGCATCTTAATCAATAGCTCCACCATAGCCATTTTTCAGCTACTCTGAGAAGCTACTGAGAAGTCACTTACTCCTGGATAGGGGGTTTGGAGTGAGTGAACAGTAAGAGGTCTCCATGAATATGAAGATGTATCAACTGACAAGCTTGGACAAGGACCATTACTATGGTCATGTTCTGTTCTTACTTGCTGCTCCAAAGCTGAATTTAACAGAATGTTTTCTGAGGGCTATAATAAAGCAAAGTAACCTTGGAGTCAGGAGCCTAATATACTGGTGAAGTGGGAGGAGGGGAGAAAAGTAGGTGACAGAGCTGAGCTGCCACAGCCTCAAGGGCAGATGCCTTCTAGCTAGAGTTGGCTGTCTAGCAGGCAGGCAGGCTAAGAGCTCCTCTTCTCATAATGTCAGGGAGCTGGGGGATGATGAGCCAGTAGGAATGATGGGAGTGTTCAAATCAGGACAAGTACGGGTGCAGTAGTGGTTAGTAGCCAGAGATGGTGCATATCTATCTGGATTCCAGAATTAAGTGGTTGTGAAGAAATCACAAGTGCTTTTCCAGCTCAGGGAAAGAGAATATGTGATCACATTAAGACCAGAATAAGGGTTTGATTTGTACCTGATGTGAAGTAAGCAGGTGACGTGGCAATGCATTGGCAACTGGATGCCAAGACTTGTGAGGAAGGAAGGTGAATTTAAGTCAGATAGAACTTTGCTGGCCCCAGAAATGGCTCTGTGAGCCAAGGAGCCATACTCTCTGCTGCCTCTAGAGGAAGTGGGGTGGTGATGTGCCACCTGAGGCAGAGTGGTATAGGGCTATTTTGAATGCAAGTATGTGAGGAGAGGAGAGCTCCTGCTACTTTGTGTTTACTAAGAAGTCATTTGGGTTCATCCTCTCTCTGTGGACAGCAGCATTCATTTCATGAGCATGTCCTTCCTGAGCTTCTCTCATGAACTGAAATACTATGATAAAGGAAGGCCAAAGCCACATTTTGCTCCTGAGGTGTTCAAAGCCTCTCTGCTAGAGTCTAAGAGGAAGTAGTTTAGGGGAGGAGTTAGAGATGTTAAAATATGAGAGGACAGAGGAAGGTGAGAGACAGAAGAAATTAGGGATGAAAAGGTAGCTTGCCTTAAGACAAAGTTCTCTGAGGTACAAAGGACAATTGGGAGTGCATTTCAAGTGGAAGGGAATAGTATTAACAAGAGCCAAGGCTTGAGGGTGCTTATGGCAAGTTTTGAAGATATATGCATAGGAGTACCAGGGAAAAAAAGGAGGGGTAGGCTGGTTGGTTAGAGGTTGTAATTCTGTGGGCAAAGTTGGCTTAGGCTTGGGCACTTGTCCTGTGCTTACAGTACTTGGCAAGGTCAGGCCTGGCCTGTGGGTTTCTGCATTATGAGGAAAGAAGAGAGGTCATGGGTTCGATAGTTTGTCTTCATAGATTGTAAGCTCCAGAAACACTGGGTTTCTGTTTGTTGATGTCTCTGACACTTAGAGTCATGCCAAGTACATGGAGAACAAAGATACATATTTATGTTTGGAGAATGAAATTAATCTTAGAATGACCACCCAAGCTGTAGGCCTAATTCATTTCACAAGCTTATCAGGGTTTCCAAGTCTGATATCAAGGTCAGCCTAAGAGTGAGGTTCACCAAGGAGCAGAGGAAGGGGTGCCCTGTAGCACAGAGGAGTGGGTGGTAACTCTTTAGCTGGATGGTTTCCATTTATGGCCACATTGTCTTCTTTTGGGGGAACCTTAGAATTGCCTGATAAAGAAGAATGAGACTGGCTACTCGGCAGTGATAGCTGACTTTGGCCTGGCTGAGAAGATCCCTGATGTCAGGTAGGTAAACTGGATCACAGAAGGGACTGAGTCAAAAGGAAAATACTAGCTACCTTCCCAAAGGGCAGGATTTGGTCACAAGCTCAGTTCCCTAAATTTTGGTCAGCCTGTCCATCTTGGGAAGAAGGATTCCCAATGGCCAGATATCCCAGTGCACCAGCCATTGGCCACCTCATCATCCATATAATCCCACTTCACAGCATGGGGAGTGAGAAGCTAGCTGTGGTGGGCTCACCCTTCTGGATGGCACCTGAGGTTCTCCGAAATGAGCCCTACAACGAGAAGGTGAGTCTGCAAACCCTAAAGGCCTGGTTTCTCCTTAGGACCCACTCTTAGCTGACAGTATCCAGGGTCACCCTTTATGTTCATGATGATCTTCATCCTTCCTGCCAAGAGCAGGGCTGGTACCTGGCAGGTGCCCAGGACATGAATAAATTAAATAGAATACCGGCTTGGGTGGGTGGGCATGAGGGGCACAAATCCCACCTTCCCCCTTGAGAGGGAAGCTGAGATCTCACTGCCCACCAGGCGGACGTGTTCTCTTATGGTATCATCCTCTGTGAGATCATCGCCCGCATCCAGGCTGATCCGGACTATCTTCCCCGCACAGAGGTGAGCTGCCAGCATGAGGATCAGTGCCAATGGGATGGGGCTGGTTTTGAAGCTTTGGAACTAATTTGTTCCTGGGTTAGAGTTGCTGGAACTCAGTCTGTGTGTTGATTTCTCACACCTCTCCTGCGCAGGCCAGGATGGGTGGAGGAAATAATGGCCTGCCTATCCATGTTCCCTGTTCCTTTTCCATTGTAATCCACAGAACTTCGGGCTAGACTATGATGCTTTCCAGCACATGGTGGGAGACTGTCCCCCAGACTTTCTGCAGCTCACCTTCAACTGTTGTAATGTAAGTGCCTCGTTCCCTTTGACTTTGGTCAGAGAGGACTTTGGCTGAATCCTTTCACTGTGTTAGGACTAAAGAAGAGTCTACTAATGATGAACTTCATTAAGGAGAGACAGTGCTCATGTCCCTGCCTCTGGCCTATGAACTTTGGACCAAGGGAAAGAAAATTGCTTTGTATTATCCTGTTCTTAGCCTGCAGGGTAGACCTGCCATCCCCAGCTTGAGATATTGACAGATCTCAGATTAGCTTTTAGTTGGACTATGGATTCTGCAGTCCAAGGCCTATGGGGAAGGCCTTCATTTTATACAGCTCTAGGGATGGACCTATAATTTCCAAGGGATAGCTAGGCTTTGTCCAGGTATCTCCTAAAGCATATTTGCAGCAGAACTCAAAGAATAAAATAAGCCAAGATGAATATAGCCTTTTGAGGACTGTGCCAAGGGGAAAAGACACATTAAGAGGGTGCTGGGGCCCTCCCTGGTGGCACAATGGGTTAGGACGCAGCACTGCAAGTGAGCCGCAGCTGCTTTAGTGCGAATTTGACCCCTGGACCCGGAGGTGACCACATGGTGCGGCAGACCTCTCCTGACCCGCCTGCCGCTCCCCTCAGTAGTCTACTTCATCGATCTGCCTGTTCTGCTCCCCACTTTGTCTCTGGTGAATGCTCTCACCACCCTTTCACTTCTGGCTTGTACCCCAGTTCTGTATGAATAAATAACCTGGAAAAAAAAAAAAAAAGACGGTGTTGTGATAGCAGAGACAATAACCTCTTCTCTGACCTTCGCTTTAGCAGCCATTTCACGACCTGGGGCTTTCAGAGATTTCTTAACCACACATCTGAACCTTCAAAGATGCTAGAAATTGGCTTAAATGCCATTCTTGGGGTAGAAGATGGGGGGAGGGCTAATAGCAGATGTGGATACCTACAGATGGACCCCAAACTACGCCCACCCTTCGCTGAGATTGAGAAGATCTTGGAGCAAATTCATAGCCGCCTACAGAAGGAAGAGCTGGAAAGGGAAAGAAAGCAGCAGGTCAAGGGTAAGCGATTAAACCAGTGTCCAATCTGATCCTAAGGGAGGAAATTAAGTACGGGGCCTTCCACTCTAAGGCTGTGATTACAGGATCCCATATGCTGAAGCAAGGGAAGGGAAAGGGATGATGGGAAAAGTACTGGACTTGAGTCATGACTTGACATACTGCCTTTCTTCTTTTAATCTTAATCTGTTCTCATTGGTAAAATGGAGATAACAGTATCTACTTTGCTTTCCCGAGTGAAGACACTTTGTGGTACAAAATGCTGCTTCGGTTTGATGTAACCAGTGAGAATAACCTTGATTTGACCCACTATTCTTCAGGACTGTTGGAGAAAGGACCTGGGGTGAAACGACTGAGCACACTGGATGACAAGATCCCACCCAAGTCTCCATGCCCAAGACGTACCATCTGGCTGTCTCGAAGCCAGTCAGACATTTTTTCCCATAAGCCCCCATATACAGTGAATGTCTCAGACCCCTACTACCAGCCACAAGCTAGTGCTACCCGAACCACCAAAATCAACCCTTTCAGCACTCGCCAGGACCTCAAGTGTGGCAAGACCAAGTTATTTGACCAACCCAGCAAATCTGTCTTCTCCTTGGTATTTGACCTGGATGCACCAGGGCCTGTAACCATGCCCCTGGAAGACTGGCAAGAGCCCTTGAGCCCTTTTGCTCGTCGGTGGCGTTCTTTGCCAGGTTCATCAGAGTTCTTTCATCAAGAGGCCCATCCATTTGTGGGCCGAGAAGACTCACTCTCTGATGGCCCCCCACTTCTCAGTAGTCTCAAATACAGAGTGAAAGAGATCCCACCATTCCGAGCATCTGCCCTACCAGCTCCTCTAGCCCAGGAGGCCATGGACTGCTCCAGTCACCAGGAAGAAAACGGTTTTGAGCAGTCCATGGACCAGTCCATGCCTTCAAGGTGCCTCTAAGGAGGTAGAAGAAAGGCCAAGAGGTTTGGCTCCAATTCCTTTCTCTCTCAGGCAAGCGCCTGAGAGCACGGGACAGCAGGATGGGAGAGGGGGGTTAATTCCTGCCTCACCCTGGGGATGATCTTCAGCTGAAGCCACAGGGCCCTCTTGGTATAGCGTTGTCTTCCCTGGAGCAGCCAAGCCAGACTTAACCTTGAAGTTCCCAGGACCCACTGACTGTTATGAGAGGAGATACAGCAGTGAGAGGCCTTCCTAGTAGGGCCAAAAGCTGATACCAAGCCTCTAAAATATGAAAGGAGCTCTGTCTCCCATCTGAGCCTCCAGTGTACTTCCCCAGACAGAACCAGAGGATTCCTACTTCTAGTTTATGCTGGCAGGCAGCTATTCCCAGGTCTTCTCCTGCCCCAGGTCTGTGTCTGCCCTTTTCTAGGGTTTATAAGCTACTAGATGAAACCTGGAACTGACCAGGAAGCCACAAAGGCATAATTTCTGACCTGAAGACTACTTGCCAGTATGTCTAAGACACTTGAATAATTGTTGTTTGCACTTACTGCATGGTCAGGCCACATCACTACATTTCTATGCAAGAGGAGGGCAAGGCAGTGTGGTGGTCATGGCTGTTAGCTAACCTATTCAAAGATTTGTTTCCAATTGATTAATGTATTTCCTATTTATGAAGGCATCTTAATGTTCTGCCCTATAAAACTTTCAACCTTGTGGCTGGGAGTAGGGCTGGTTTTGTAGGCCCTAGGGCCTGCTTTATATATCTGTCAACATGTGATAAAACCAATTGGTTAGATGGTTTATACATGGACTGATTTTCTTCCCTCCTGCTATAGTTGAAGCTATGTGACAATCTGTCCTTACAAAGTCAAAATAAGAAATAACCAAAGACAAAGCTGGTCAATTATTTTCATAACTTTTTTTTTTTTTTGGTAAAGTGTCTTTCCCAAGACACTTTCATATTTAAAAATAAAGTTGGTGTTACAGGTATTGGTCAGTCTTCTTACTTGAACCCCTTGTGCCTCAGCCTCTGGGGTAAAGAGGAAGGTCCAGGAGCAATGCAGCAGTTACCTCTGCCAGGGTCCCACCCCACCCCCTAACTCTGTGGTACCTGGGAGAGGGACAGCCATCAGTTAGAGAAACAACTCCTTTGTTCCACTCTTAGCTTCTCTTCCTGGGCCCCGAGTGCCAAGGTTGCTTGCTGCATGTCAGCTGCTGCCCCAAGCCAGCTTCATCTTCTGGTTGTGGGCTTTGGAGGAACGGGAGAACTGGCTCTTGGCCACTGTGAGAGGTACAGCCTTGCCACTTAGGTATACCTTGTTGTGGCATTCAGGTAGCCAGGGTTCAGAGCTACATGATTGGGGTCCTTGGCTCATGCCCACATAGGCCATCACATAACCTGTCATAAAGGCATCAAAACCAGCCCGGTGCAGTCCATCTCCAGGTACTGGATTGGGACTGGCTTGACTTGCTGGCACTTCTGAGGTAGCTATGTCAGCTGTTTCAGCCACTGATGGTTTAAGATCCAAATCCAACTCATTTTTATGATCTTGTTCAGAGTCAGGCTGGTCTCCTGACACATCCTCGACCACCACCTGCTCAATTTCCTCAGTCTTAAGGCCATCTCCACAGATTTGCTTTGTGGGAGGGCCATCTTCAGCTCCCCCGGAGGTCTGTGTTTTAGGAAGGCCCAACAAAGCCCTTCGCCGTTTTTCCCTCCGTCGTCGCTTCCGCCGCTTGTCCTCTACTACTGCTTCATCAGTGTCAATGATGAGGTCAATATCATGCGACTGAGGGCACTGTGGTCCCAGGGGGCACCAACCATAGGCCTAGAGGCAGAAATAGGCTTATAGAAAGGGTCCAAATATCAGAACCTTTCCTCCCAGCCCTGGCTCAGAAAATAGGTAGATACGCTCACCGAGAAGTTGTCACAGATGCTACTAGAATGAGGACGGTGGGTTGCAGGGGGCATGCAGCAGCGATAGTCTATATGGGCCCTCATGCTAGAAGGATAGTTGCAGAACTCCAAGGCAAGATGTGGGCTGCCAGCTGCCCACTGTTTCCCATTTTCTCGCTCACTGCAACAGTGCAAGAGGGTATTGGTCAATAAGCATATAAGCTCTATGAGAGTAGGGTTTTGTTTTGTTCACTGCTGCATCTTGAGCAGCTAAAATAGTGCCTGGCACATAGTAGGCACTCTCAATATCTTAACTGAATGAAATAGGTTTATACCAACTCCCACCCCTTTCCCTCAAATAGGTTTATACCAAGTCTCACCATTTTCGGAAAGCATATTCTAAGTAGGAGGCCACAAAGCGGGCATGAAACTCAGCAGCATATTTGGTATCATAAATGCCAGCTGGAAACATTTCACACAGGTCAGCAGTGAAGGTTCCCAGGGTCTCCGGCAGATGTGCATAGAAGTTCTGGTACAGGAACACCAAGTCTATAAGACCATTGTGTAATACCAGAGGTCGGCGGGCCCGGATTAACTCTAGGAACAGAGTCCTCACTGATTGGCTCTGGCTCTCATCACCCTGGGTTAAAAAACACACACACACCAAAACTGGTCACTGGGAAGGAGTGTCTCCAGCAGGCCTCTTTTCAGGATCCTCATTCCCCCCTTCCCACAGTCACCTAGAAAGCTTTACCTCCTGTGTAACCCACAGCTGCTCACCTGTTTTATAGTCTTACTTCCCAAGCCCTGTCACTCACTACTGATCCCCTTTAGTCTCTAAGAAGCAGACTTTCCTTTTGCACCTAGTGTAAGGAAGGAAGAAATAATGTGGAAAAATATCAAAGCTATAGGCTTACCTTATCATTGCCCTTGTGGTAGGGGATACCCTGGGCATACTGCCTGTTGAAGTTGAAGCCATGTTGTACCAGAAATTGCACAGACTTTGGTTCAATGACATACTCCTCCATGCAGAGCAAAGTCAGATTGAACACCTGGGCCAGGTATGAGTGTTCCTGGGAGAGAAGAGGGTTCTGCTACATCAAGATTAAGGAGAGAGAAAACTTGTATCTGATACTCCCCAGCATCTCCACTTTCTTCCCCATAGCCAAAGAGGGGTAAACCCAGCCCATACCTTGTTTGGCTGCTGCTTAAAGCAGGCGAGGCCCAGGGAGAGGACAGAACGGGTTCTGGCAGCATGACACACGGCCTTGTAACGATCCTCGATGCACCTTGGGATTAGGTTTGAGGGTGGCTGAGGCTGGGAGCCTCAGGAAGGATTGGAACCACCCAGGATTTTGACCTCTACTCAAGAGTTGAGATGTGCCCCTCCTGGCAAGGGTGGGACTAAAGTGAACAGGGCTTATACTTACTGGTTCAGCAAACTCTTCCTGTCCCCAAGCCCACTCAGTTCCTAAGGTGGGGAAAGGAGAGTTGTTTTCAGGTTCCTGGCACCATCCCTTTCATAACCATCTGCCTACCCGATTACCCAATCCTCACCGTGTCCACAGCCACAAAACTGGCTGTCTTTATGGCCAGCAGGAGGGACGGCCACATCTCCTTGAAGTTGTCACTTTGCACATCCACCACTGGAACCTGGATTACTAGCTCCTGCCCAGATTTTGTGCTTTTGTTGATACCACCTGGCATTGAGGAGGGTGATGGATGTTAATACTCAGACAGGGCTCAGGGGACAGACACCAAGCCAGGCTGGGGCTGGAGGGGGAAGAAGTGACAGCTTTTCCAAATCTCTGTATTACACGTGTTCTACACACAGGTCTTGAAGTAAACAGTGCCCTAATTTAGGCAGAGGGAGCCTGGTCTCCAGTCTCTTTGGGAAAACTCCGTCCTTCTCACCATCACAATCTGTAGAAGAGGAATGGTGGACTAGATGGTTGTTGAGGTTTCTTTACCCAGTGTTCGGCGGGGCTTGAGGGCTTCTGCTCCCTTTAAGTCTCACAAGGCTCCACACACAGCGCCTAGGGAGCCTCAGTAGCCACAAGTGGCAGTACCTAGTATGCTCTGAGTAACAAACAATGCCCCGCCCCACTGCTCCCAATACCCACCACTTCCTTTGGACCACAACTCCCAGCTTGCCCCACTGAACCGAACTCTAGACTACATCTCCCGTCACGCCTCTGTCTGCCCTGACCAAGCTCCCAACACTCCCAAGCTTTTGCTGCCTGTACCGCAGTGCACACGGGGAGTTGTAGTCGCGTCAGGGTGGGTTCAACAGGCATGAGCTAGTCCTCTGAAGCTTGAGATGGGCTTCTAGAACTATGACCCCAATGGCTTCCCCTGCCCCGGACCGCAAAGGCAGCCCCTGGGAAGCTACTCACCGACAGAGACCTCTGGAGCTGAGGCTGCGCCATCGTCACTGTCGGCGGCCATGACGCCGCGCGTTCCTCGCCTGAGCTGTCTGTGGGTACGCGCGACTTCCGCTTCTGGCGCGGATCCTACCCTCGGGGACGGGGCGGGGCTTCACCCTCGAGTTAGCGACGGGCCGGACTTCCGTTCAGACGTCAGAGCTCTGGCGTGGAGGCGGCCCCGCGCTCGCTGAGAGCCTATTGGCCAGAGCCACGCCCCCGGGACAAGTTGCGGAGTCTGACGCGGGAAACTGGGCACTAGGTAATTTCTTCGCGTACGCGGGTGGGGGGGAGGTGGGGTTTAGCTTTAAGCGGTTTACTTGGGCTCCGCTCGGGGTTGCAGGTGGGGATGGGGGTCACAGAGGAGGTGATGCTGCTTGAGCTAAGCTTAAAACAAGCATTGCAGCAAGGCAATAGGGGCCAGTATGGAGAAAAAACTGGACAGCTCATCCCAGCAAGTGAAAGAGACGGGGAGCGGGACAAGGGACGAGACTGAGGAAGTCTTACAGTGACCTACGAGCAGGGAAACTTGAAATAATCCGCCACGTGATAATGATAGTTAAGGCTTCTCCAGTAGGGACGATCAGGAAAGGACTGATTGTAGGCCTTGACCTCGAGGATGATTGATTGCATGTGACCCCAGCGCCGCGGGAGGTTTCTCTACTAGGGCCCCAAGGACACAATCCTGCCCTCTTGGTTTCTAGTTCATCCTTCATTCTCTGCTGAATCCTATTCACTATTCTGAATGGCTTAGATATCTTCCATTCTAACAAGAAAGAAAGAAAATTTTTTACTATTCCTCACCCCATTAGTTACTCTAAGTAAGTATTTATTGATTACACTTTATCTGACACATTGCTTAAACCAGTCAACAAAAGAGACCCAATCCTTGCCTTCATGGAGTTTTATAGTCAAGTGGGGGATGGGGAAATAAGGGGGAGAAGCAAACGCTGATCAAAGAGTCACAAATACTGGGAAATTACAGTTGGTATAAGAGCAAAACTGGAAAAACATATAAGAGGGTAAAGTTGGGGGACCTGATTTGGACTTCATAGTCAAGACTTGAAGAAAGTCTAAATGTTAGGTAAGCATGGGAGAAATGATAATCAAGCAGGGAAAGTTAATTGCTTGAGGCCTCAAGGTTGACAGACACTGAGTAGATTGAAGCAACTATTTCAGACAAACCTGGCTGCAGCACAGGGAATGAGGAAATGGGTCAGTGTGGGGCCTTTGGAGCCACAAGTTTATATTAAGAGGACTGACTTCTATTCCCAGAGCTATGATGTGCCAACCAGTCTTCCAGCAGCCTGCAAGATAGTTTGTGATTCTGTCCCCCGCTCTTTATGTCTCTGACCTCATGTCTTATTACTCACCTTCTCATTCCATTCTTTTTTTTTTTTAATTTTTAATTTATTTATGCGTACAGAACTGGGGTACAGGGGCAGTGAAAGGATTCACCAGAGACAGAGTGGGGAGCAGAACAGGCCAACTGATGAAGTACAGTGCTGAGGAGGGTCTGCAGAGGGCTGCTGCGCCATGTGGGTCACCTCCGCCATGTGGGTCACCTCCGGGGCAGGCGGGGATCCAACTCATGCTGAAGTGGCTTTAACTTCTCAGTGCTGTGCTTTAACACACTGCGCCACCTGGGAGGGCCCCTCATTCCATTCTAATCATACTGACTTCCTCTTTATTCCCAAAACACCAGGGTCTCCTTAGGGCTTTTGTGCTCCCTTCTTCTAAGGGTTCTTTCCCTACAGGTATCAACATGGTTAACTCCTTCAACTGCTTTAAATCATTGGTCAAATGTCACTAACAGAGCTTATCCTGATCACCTTTAAAAGTGCAACATCCACCCCCCACTCACCCCTTTTACCTGCTCTTTCCCTCTTCATGCTAGTGTTTATCACTTAACAGTCTATCTGATTTACTTATTGTGTACATTATTCATTGTCGGCATCCACTAGAATATAAGCTCCTGAAGGCAGGAATCTTTCAGTTTTATTTACGGAAGTATTCCAAATACCTAGAAGTGTTTCTTATAGATATTCCATTAATAGTTGTTCAGTGAATTAATGGGGAAACCATTAAAAGTTTAAGTAACCATCAAGTCTTAAAAGGATTGCTTTTTTCTTGGGGCATAGTTTGTAGAATGAGTTGTGTTTGTTGGCAGAAATTTGGCTATGAAGGGAAGAAGAGTGGGGAGCCCTCCCTGGTGGCATAGTGGGTTAGAGTGCTGCACTACACAGCTAAGCCAAGCCATGGCCACTTCAGTGCGAGTTTGATCCCCACCCCAGAGGTGACCCACATGGCACAGCAGACCTCTCCTGTCTCATTCATTGCTCCCCTCAGCAGTGTATCTTGTTGATCTGCCTGTTCTGCTCCCCACTCTGTCTCTGGTGAGTCCTCTCACTGCCCCTGCACCTCTGGCTGTTCTGTATGTATAAATAAGTAAATCTTAAAAAAAGAGAAATCACCTTTAAAAAAAAGAAGAAGAGTGGGTCTTATGGATTGGGCAAACAGGACCCAATTTAGAAAAAGGGACCATTCCTTCAAGTATTGGGGGACAAGAGAAGAGTGTCCATGGAAGGAAATTTGTACAGTCATTTTTTTTTCCTGAAGAAAAATAAAGTTTTGATTAAAATAAGGGGAAGTCAAGGATTTGAGCAGAGTTTGAGCCACAGGTTAACTCAAACAGTTCAGCACAGTGGAAGAATGCAGACTCTGGAAACAATATATTTTGGAGTTGAATGAACAAGTTCCTTAATCTCCACAAGCCCTAGTTTCTTCAATGGAGGAAATTCTAGAGGTAATTCTGCAATGTTTCTCATGGAGTCATCAGGAAATTGAAAAATCTGGAAAAACTCTCAGCATAGGGTTAAGTAGCCTCTGTTAGCTGCTTTTAATTATTAGAGAAAAGGCAGCCAAAATATTTAAGGGAGTAGTGAAGATCAGTTATGTTTTTTCTTTACTGATGGCCAGCCAGGAATGACTGACTAGATCAGGAAAAGATTAGCAATAAAAATAGCTCATCTTCTTCCCCCTCACTTGCTATCTGCTCTAAAGAGATCTTTTCTACTCTTAGATCCTTGGTTTATCTTTTTAATAGAATGAAGATTTGGAATAGATGACTACTAAAGGCTAATTCAGTGTAAATTTGTCACATATTTGAGCAGATAAATCTCCTGCTCACCCCCATGCTCCTAGTCACTTAATAAACCCCTGTCTACACATGCAGGGGATCAGGAATACAGAGGCGCTTCTGAACAGGCTTTGGCCCTAGTCCCAGCCAGGCCCTGGCTTTTTTTTTTTTTTTTTTGGCTTGTCTGCACACTTTATAGGAGAGAGAGTCCCTCTGAAGCTGCTTGCGAAACTTAACCCTGCTGGTCATACCCCCGTGCAATAGCCAACTAAGAGCAAACCCATGAGCATCTGGAGCATACTTGAGAAAAACTAAATTCTCTATGTCAATAATATAGGGAGGACGTGGGCTATACCCTTTGCAGAGCCCCAAGATTCAGTCATTGTGGCTGACTACTTTGGCTGGTCCTTTCTGTTCTAGGCCCTTATGAAGAAGCCAGGATCAGCTATGGGGAGTCGTCGCAAGAAGCAAGCATCTAGCCGCAAGGGAAGGGGGAAACGTGTCCTCAGCAGCATGGCCACGCCTTCTGCCCCTGATGGTGAGGCACTCAGTCTTAGTCTGGTTTCACTTACATAAAGGGGGGCAGATTCAGGCTGGGAAGGGAGATTGGCATGTATCAAGGTATTAAGGACTAATGAATGATCCAGTTCTGACTTTGCTGTGTGATTTTGGGATAATTTCCCTGAATGACCTTTTTACTGGTGCCTTTAACTGCCTTTTTACTAGTGAATTGGGAAAGTGGTCTGTGCATTCCTTCCATAGGCTTTTACAAGATCAAATGAGATTTCCAGCCTAAAAGTATTTTGTAAACAGGAAACCCTACACAAGTATATGTTCTGCTTGACTGAAACTAGTGGATTTTTATTATGATACAGAGACAAAGGAGCCTGAGAAAATTAAGACCAGAAACTTGGCTGAGGCTACACATAGCTGGAGAGCTCTGGTCTGACACCAGCTCCAAAGTTTAAACAGGGGTAAAGGGTGGGACCTGACTGCCCCAGGTCCCTGGTGTACAGCCTGTGCAAGGGTGATCCGTGAGTTTTCTGAGACTCCAGCAGGCCTTTCCAGGTCGCAGGAAGAGGTACAGGGCTCCGTCTCCCCATACCACCTGTTCAGAGACTCAGCTGAGGTCACAATCTTCCGGGAGAGTCTGCTGAGCTGGTATGACCGAGAGAAGCGGGACCTACCCTGGAGAAGGCGGGTAGGCAGGCAAAGGACAGGGGTGGTAGGGTGGGAGGCTGGCGCCCACCCCCCTCCACACTGACTCCGCATTTGGGATTGCATTGGCAGGCCAGGGATGAGGTGGACCTGGACAGGCGGGCATATGCTGGTGAGTCCGTCTCCTGAGAGCATGACTGCTTTACTTGAATGCACTCAGATCTGGGGTCTGAGGGCTGGGTGCAGGGCAGGTCAGCAGTGCCCTCATGTCAACTCCTCTCTCGTAGTGTGGGTCTCAGAGGTCATGTTGCAGCAGACCCAAGTTGCCACCGTGATCGACTACTATACCCGATGGATCCAGGTGACTTCAGGGAAGGAAGGGAGGGTTATGGGCCAGACCCCGGATGAGTGCCTGTCCTTTGGGGTGCATGTAAAGAAGATTCTCTCCACTTCCCTCACCCTTGATAACTTTTTTCGCCTGTCTTTGGGCTATAGAAGTGGCCAACACTGCAGGACCTGGCTAGTGCTTCCCTGGAGGTGAGAGCCACCCTAGGACAGGGGGAATAGGGACAACTGAGGGCTTAGCACTGACTTGACCTATGACCCTGTCCACAGGAGGTGAACCAGCTCTGGGCTGGCCTGGGCTACTACTCTCGAGGTCGGCGTCTGCAGGAAGGAGCCCGGAAGGTAAGAAAGTGGTAGGAAGGGGGCGACCCCAGGGGCCTTCAGTGTATTACACCTTGAGCCTTCCTACCCCAATCAGGTGGTAGAGGAGTTAGGGGGCCACATGCCACGTACAGCAGAGACCTTGGAGCGGTTCCTGCCTGGTGTGGGACGGTACACAGCCAGAGCCATTGCTTCCATAGCTTTTGGCCAGGTGAGCCTGTTGCCCACTGCCACTTTGTGCATTCACCGCATTCCTGCCAGACGAGGCTGATCCTGAACTTCTCTGTGCCAGGCAACCGGTGTGGTGGATGGGAATGTAGTGCGGGTGCTGTGCCGTGTCCGAGCCATTGGTGCTGATCCTAGCAGTACTCTGGTCTCCCAGAAGCTCTGGTAAGATATTGGGGTAATGGGAGATCAAGAAAGGTATTTCTGAGTGGTCTTTGGCTCACAATGTTCCCTTCTTGCAGGAGACTAGCAGAGCAGCTGGTGGACCCAGCCCGGCCTGGGGACTTTAACCAAGCAGCCATGGAGCTTGGGGCCACTGTGTGTACCCCACAACGCCCACTCTGCCACCAGTGCCCTGTACAGAGGCTCTGCCGAGCACATCAGCGGGTGAGATGCAGGGAATGGCAGTCTGGGTTCCTCAAGAGTGATCCCTGCCCCATGACATCCTGCCCTGTGCTTCTCAGGTAGAAAAGGAGCAACGCCCTACCTCACCGTGTCCACCAGGCAGTCCTCTTGATGTGGAGGAGTGTGGTGAGTGCCAGCCCTAGCCCCTTTCTATACTGTCAAGGAGCTCCTGGGGAAGCTTCGTTCCAGCCCATCCTACAACCTGAGGAAGATTCTTCAGCGCTGGGCCCAGGCCTGCTCTCATCTTGACACTTAAGCCCGCGTGCCTGACTAGGACTTGGGCCTCTTTTTTCCCAGCTCCCAGCACTGGACAGTGCCAGCTGTGTGCACCTCCCACAGAACCCTGGGACCAGACCCTGGGAGTAACCAATTTTCCCAGAAAGGCCAATCGCAGACCCCCCAGGGAGGAATGTTCTGCCACTTGTGTTTTGGAGCAGCCCTTGGCCCCTGGGGGTGCTCGCTTTCTGCTGGTACAGAGGCCCACTTCAGGTACCTGCATCCTGGGAGTGGGGGTCAGTACCAGAAACAAGGGTGGATTTAGCCTCTAAGGCCTCCCCACACCTACCTGCCTTTCCTTTTAGGTCTTTTGGCAGGACTGTGGGAGTTCCCGTCAGTGACAGGGGAGCTCTCAGGGCAGCTTCTTCACAAGGCCCTGCTGCAGAAACTGCAGAGCTGGGCTGGACCCCTCCCAGACACCCGCCTCCAACACATTGGGCAGGTGAGTGAGCAGTGGAGAGACCAGGAATTCAGATTTTTTTTAAAGATTTATTTATTTGCACATACAGAACTGGGGTACAGGCCAGAGCTACAGGGGCAGTGAGAGGCTTCACCAGAGACAGAGTGGGGAGCAGAACAGGCTGACTGATGTACACTTCTGAGGGGAGCAGCGGGCGGGTCAGGAGAGGTCTGCCGCGCCATGTGGTCACCTCCGGGGCAGGCAGGGATCGAACTTTAGCTTCTTAGTGCTGTGCTTTAACTAGCTGCGCCACCAGAGAGGGCCTTAGATTTTGTTTTTTAAGCAAAGGAAAAGATAGAGAATTTACATGGTTGTAAATTCTAAAGAATAATGTGAATTCTAAAGAATAATGGAGCAGACTGAGAATATTCACTGTGTTTTAGGTCCTGAGGTGTCAAAGACAGAGAGGGGGAGATAGGAAGGGTGACATAATCCTTACTGTTAAAAATGAGATTCTTGGCCCTCCCTGGTGGTGCAGCGGGTTAAAGCACTGCACTGAGAAGCTTAAACCACTTCTGCATGAGTTCAATTCCCGCCTGCCCCGGAGGTGACCACATGGTGTGGCAGACCTCTCCTGACCCGCCCGTTGCTCCCCTCAGCAGTGTACTTCGTCGATCTGCCTGTTCTGCTCCCGCTCTGTCTCTGGTGAATCCTCTCACCCTCCGCATCTCTGGCCTGTACCTCAGTTCTGTATGAATAAATAAATAAATCTTTAAAAAAAAAAAAAAAAATGAGATTCTTAGGACATGTTTACTGATAAATCTAGAAGTGGGGGAACCCCCCCCCAGGAATTATGGCTTTTGTGCCCACATTTACAGGCCATTGCACCTTGGCCCTCCCCGCAGGTGGTCCATACTTTCTCTCACATCAAGCTGACATACCAAGTGTATGGTCTGACCTTGGATAGGCAGAACCCAGCGACCCTCACAGCGCCTGGCGCTCGCTGGCTGACCCGGGACGAGTTTCATGCAGCAGCTGTCTCCACCGCCATGAAGAAGGCACTACCTTTGTTTTCCTCGTTCGGTTTCTGTCTTTGTTGCGTTTCTACATGTCTATGTGAAGCTAACCATGGAACTATGTAAACAGAAAAATAAAAGTACTGGGGAATGAAGTTGAGGGGGGAACCAGGAGTCTGGCTCTGGGGAAGATGCCAGCCATTTCCTCTCTTCTTCTGACTAGGTGTTCCGTGTGTATGAGGGCCGCCAACCAGGGACCTGCCAGGTGAGCCCTTGGCCTTCATTCAGCTCTCCCTCCAGTCCTAACCCCATCCATGGGTTTTCTGTGAGTTCAGTCACACATTTGGGTGAACATTCTCTGTGGCAGGCTTCACTTGGGGGAGAGTATTCTTGACCTACAGACCTTTCCAATCTGTGTGCAAGACAGGAAAGGGGACAAATACAGATAGTGGAGACAGTAGCATCACAGGTGTGTGAAATGTTTGGACTACATTTTGTAGGTTATGAACAGGAGCTATGAGTTCTACCTAGAAGGCAAGAATCAGGAAAGCTGCTTGGAAGAAGCAGAGGTTCATCTGTGTCTTAGAATCATTTTTCTCCAAGTTCAGGAGGAGAATCGGCTTATGGAGGTTCTTTTCAGACCCAAGAGTAATGTGAACAAAGCTAATAGTGAAACTCCAGTCAGGTTGCAGTGTGAGCTCCAGGAGTTGAGAGTGGTTGGTTTAACTGGATCAGGCCACAAGGCCTACCCAGGCATATTAGGGCTGTGAACGCCAAGCCTCTGAAGCATGTAGATGGAGAGGGTCAGGTTACCTTGGATTGCCTTTAGAAACTTGACCTAAGACAAGTTGGGTGCTTTAGCACATCCCAGGCTAGAACCAGAGCTACACTAGTAGAGAGTGGGGCAAGAGGTGGAAGAAAAGGATTCTCTGCTGCTTTTTAAGTGTCTCCTTCTTTTGACTTTTGCACAGGGCTCCAAAAGATCACGGGTATCCACTCCATCCAGCCGGAAGAAGCCCAGCCCAGGCCAGCAAGTTCTGGATAGTTTCTTGAGGCCCCACGTCCCCACTAAAGCACCCAGCCTCAACAGTGTGGTCCACTGATGCCTCTGCAAGACTCCAGCCCCTGAGAGTCCCATTTTTAAATAAAGTACCTATTTTTGTAGTCATTTTCTGCCCTCTCCCGAGCCCCCTCACTCCTCATCTCTGAGGGACCCAGAAAGTGCTTTAAGTCCTGCGTGGCCCTGCCATCCACTGACTGAGCTCCCAGCCAGCCTGGACAAATGGAAAGGGTGTTCTGTTCGCAGTAATTGTCCGGGCCTCACCCCAAGGAAAGCGGGTGAAGTCAGCTGCAGGGTGCCTTGACCAGAGCTGACACCCAACACCCTTGCGGAGGTCTGTGGCTGCTCAGATTGGAGGTGTGCTATCACCCTAGAGCAGGTAGCCAGGCTCAACTCTGGCCCGGACCTTCCCACCTTCAGTGGCTGCTCCCTGCAGTGAGGGGAAGCACAGGTGAGGAGGGTTTGTTTTGTCTTAAATTTGTACCTCAAGTAGTAAACCGTTTATTTAGAAATACGTAGGTAGTGAGACAATACAGAAAAACAAAGGGTTAATCATAAATTTGGGGTTGGTGTGAAGAGAAACTGAATCAGAAATACTTAAGGAAGCTTTAAAAGTATTGGTTCTAGTTCCAAAGTACAATTCTTTTTTATCTTGCACAGAAAATACAAGCTATTTATATCTTGCACATTAGATACCAAACTGTTTAAGAATTTTTCATAGTTTTAAGGAATTCCAGCTCTGGACTCCAATGAGAGATTCAACTTCTGGCAGGTACTAACGAGAAAAGAGGGCAGACCTGGGAACATAGCCCTACCCTTCAGACCTCGGCAAGCATTCCTCAGCTCAGCGTACACTGGAGTTCAGGACACTGGCTGCATCCCCTCAGGATCTTAAGCTTGCTGACTTCTGGCAGCTTGTTCCTGCACAGACTGCCAGAGGGCCCGGATGTTGCCCTGGCCAAAGCCTGTGGCTCCCTGCCTCTGAATCAGCTCCAGAAAGAAGGTATCCTCTGCAAAGAGGGACTTGGTGAAGACCTGAAGCAGAAACTTGCCGTTATCCCCATCTAGCAGGATCCGCTGTCTGGCTAGCAGGCTGGGCTCATGCCCGGCTGCTAGGATCTGTCTTTCTTTGCCTGGCTGCTGATAGTAGGCTTCAGGAGGAGTTAGGAGCTGGCCCCCAGCCCCCAACACCCCTTCAGTGGCTTTCAGGATGTTAGGTGTGTACAGCCCCACGTGCTGCAGCCCTGGTCCCCTGTGCCTAAGGAGAAACTGCCCCACCTGATCCTGTTCACTGGTGGTCCCATTCAGGGACTCCGCAAGCACAAGTGTGGGGATGTCATTGCCTAGAGGGGCTTGCAAGGCAGTGAGCCTCAGTCCTCTATGCCCAGACCCTACTGGGACCTCCAGGCCCCGATCGGGATCCTCACCTGGGCTCAGTGGTAAATGGCGAAAGCCTAGACAGTCGCGGAACCAGCGCATCAGTGTTGGGGAGCTGCCAGGGGTGCAGGCCAAGGTCAGGTGGTCCACATGGCTGACCCATCCCGGGCTGGTTGTCGAAGGTACCGGTTCAAAACCGGGCAGGAAGGGTCCACAGAAGCTGGCACGCTCCAACAGCGTCAGGCTGAGGTTGCCGGCAGGGGAACTGATGACGGCATAGGTGGCATGGCCCTGCCCATCCCGCACCTTGACTGGGGGCACCAGGAGGCTGCAGCCCTGTGCTGCCAGCACCGTGGCGGCAGCGTCCGCATCGGTCACTTCAAAGCACAGGTTCGTGGCACTGGGCACCGCATGACGCTGGTCCAGTCCGTACAGGGGCTCGGCAGGTCCCAAGCCCTCGTTCACCAAAAAGACCGCGTCCCCGCTACGCAGGGCTAGCTGCTTCCAGCCGTCTGCCTCTCGCGCCGCCAAGGGCTGGAAGCCGAAGAGACGCTGCAGATCCTGGGCGAGGGGCTGTCCCGTAGGGACGTGGAAGGCAATATGGCACAGACGGCGCGCGCGCGTGGCCATGGCGGTCTGAATGGCGACCCCGCCACTCCTTTCCCTGCAGTTGCTCACTTGGAGTTCAGGCCTCCGAGGTACTCTCCGTTTAGCATTGCAGTCGGAAGCCGGTGGAGTCCAGCTTTGCCCGCAGAACACGCTCCTCGTTCTTCCCCGGCAAGCAGTCGCAAACCGACCCTTTAGGGATTCGAGGTTCTACCTGCAGCCTCAGCAAAATCTGGAGCTGACCCGGGACCACCGGTCTGATCTGCGGGTAGTGAGAACTACACTGAGCCGCTGGGGGCGGAGCCAGGGGGGCGGAATTAGTGACTCCGCGTTGACTCTCACTACCCGCCTGCAGCCGGGTGCAGAGCGAGGCCTTTGGACTGCGCCTTCCTAAAGTCTCTGACCAAGTCACACCCTTGGGCACTGACCCTTTTTCCAGCACCCGGAAATCACAATAGCTGCCTTCACTCAGAGCCAGCAGCTTGAGTCTCTCTTTGCCCAACCGGAGAGCACAGGGAATCAGCTCCTTTTGGGGGAGAAGGCTAATTTCTTCCTTAAGGATGAACCTTCTTATAATAGCATGTTTTAGCTTTAAAAGTCCTGGAAAGTTCTGCTAGTAAGTACTAATGTTCCTTTAAAACTAAAAAATATCAAGATGTTTTAAATTACAGATTTTCACTCCCATAGAGATTGATGTCACCTTGAGGATTGGTGTCACCTGTAAGGTTCCTACACACACCTTGCCTTTATTTCCTGAAAGGAAAAGGCAGAGAGGAGGGGCGGATGCTGTGAGTCTGCTACCAAGTTCTGTGACTGGCTGCAAGAAAGGAAGGCTTGAGGCAGAAAGGCTGAGCAAGCAGAGTTTATTGCTCCGGGACAGCAGCAGAGACGGAACCCCTAGGGTGGGGTCCGCAGCTACTGCCCCCTCAATAAGGGGGAAGGGTCTCATATAGATTCTAAACTCGGATTCCAAAGGGGGTGACTCATCCCTGTGTCCTTGATGTGAGGCCCAGTTCGTTATCACCTTCAGCTAGTCCCATCCCGGATGCAAGGTCAGTTTATTACCACCTTATCAAGCTTGGATGCAAGGCTCAATTCTTTACCGCCCTAATTCAGTCCTTGTCAGTAAATCTTTAGTCACTCCCAACATTTCCGGCAAGCTCTAGTGCCACTTTTCTTTTGCAACTCCTTTTTCTCCCAACATCTTTGCCCCTTGTTTCAAACAAGATTGGGAATAAAAACCTAGGACTTGGGACCTAAAAGCTGCTTGGGTGTCATTTCTCACCCTATGGCCCTACTGTAACTAGAATGCAAGCCCTTCTTGCTCTTCAGTGTTCTGACTGGGTATTAAGTCAGAGGTTTCAGTGGTATTTCAGGATTGTGTGAGATTGCCGGACTGAAGAAATTAGGCATCCTTTGGGGCTTCCGCTGGTGGCCTTGAGAGTTTGGGACGGGCGTTCCAAGGAGGGCAAAGGGCCAAGTCAAAGCTCCATGAATAATGTGAGTCAAATCTCAGAGGAGCAACAGAACATAAGGTTGGGAGGCATTTGGGATAGCTGACATGCCCCAAGGCACTGTAAGGATTCCTTTTCAGGCAGACTGATAGGATGACTTGCAGTTGAGTTAAGAAGGAGGTGATGGGAGAAGTAAGGGAGGGCGGGGAGAAAACAGGGCTTAGAAAAAGTTGTCTGGCTAAGTGTTCAGGCCTGCAGCTAGGAGGGCAGTACCCAGAAGCTGGTGAGTAGTGGTGATGTAACTGGGTGGTCCCTAGGAGAAGGGAAGTTCCAGGTTCCCTGCCCCACCCAGAAGGAGGGTGGAACTGAGCAGAGAAAAAGGAGAGAGAAGAAGAGAGGGAAGGCAGATGGAGAAGGAGACCTAAGGAAGCCACATGGAGCAGCAAGCATGTGATGAAGAAACCGTGCTTGTTTCCTGACCCTGGGCTGATTAAGGCAGATGTGGGTGGGATACCTGTAGGGAGGTGACCATGGCAGTGTTTATATTGATTTTGATTTTGCTCTTTTCCTCCCAGATTTGTCTGGCCATTTCTGACCCTTTTCCATGGGTCCCGGCCAGAAGGTGCTTTAGTCTTGTGGCCACTTTCAGGCCTTGCTTTGGGCCAATCCCTTTTGGGTTGACTTTTGCCCACGAGGGGATGGGTAACTTCAGGTGTTTGATTTAGAAGTTACATTCTTTGTGTGTTCCATATTGTATATTCACTGTATTAAAGGCACTTTTCATTAAAGCTTTATATGTTTTGTCTTGTTGCGGCGGATGGCAGAACCCACTTAGAGCAGGCAGGTTTTGGGGCCTCAGGGGTGCCTCTCTCTGAATTGAGGTGCCCTATAACAGTGAAAGGCACATGGGCTACTCTGCAGACTAATGAATTTGGGAACATGGGTTCCCCAAACCAGAGAAACATGGGTTTAAAGCTACTTTGAACAAGTTACATAATTTCTCTGAGCTTTAGTTTCTTCATTTGTAAAAATGGGAATAATAATATCTGCTTCCTAGAGTTGTAATTCAATGAGAAAGAGTGTGCTGTAGGCTGGCAAGAGGTCCAGGATTTAACCTTTTAACCTGAGCCTATCTGTGTGGGGTCAGCTTATACAAAGCAGCAGCTGGGCAGGGAGGGTGTCACAAGGAGATGGCTGCAGTGGGTTCAGGAATAATAGACACAGTAGGGATACTTCTCCCTAGACTTGAGCACTGGCAAAGCCCTGACTCTGGTGGGGAAAGGGCTCTGGACTAGGCCTCTCTGAGGACTGGTTCCGAAATAAGGTTATCTTCTTCCCCAGCTACTGCTGGGGTGGCGGTCGGTAGAAGGGGGGCCCCAAATGAGCCCCTCTTTGGTTCAGCTACAGAGATTTCCACTCGAGGACATAGGTATAGCCAGAGGCAGCAGAAACAGGATTTCTCGCTCATCTCTTTCTACCTGTTCTTGGAGGAAGGGTAGATTTTTGGAGGTTAAGTGAGGGTTGTCTTGGTTAGGGCATGTTGCTTGACCTTGACCTAGGCTACAGACTGGTGGCTGAGGAGAGGCGTTCTTGTTCCCTGCAAGTTTGGGAGAAGAGGTGGTCATGGATGTTGATCTCCCACCTTCATTTCCTGCAGCCCTACTGGCGTCCAGGTCGTGAGGAACGTAGGACACCCACACCATGTACCCTGGGATCAGGACCGTGCAGCACTTTCACAAGATGGGTTCCCCCAGCCTGAACTCCATGCCCTCTCGCGGCGCTACTGTTGCTCAGGGTGGAGGCGAAACGACAGGACCCCGCCGCTGGAGGGCGCGCGGGTCGGAGTTGGCGCTGCGGCAGACCGTCTGTCTTCTACCGCGGCCAGGTCCGCCCAAGTGGAGGCGCGGACGGTGGCGGGCCGAGATGCTGAATCCGCAACTCCAGCATCCACCAGGCGGTTAACCCAGGAGCAGCGCTCCGCCGCCGGTGATACCCGAGTCTGCTCCTGCCCTGATCCCTCCAGACCCCGAGCACAGGCCGCCCCGGGAAATGCCTCGCTCACGGAACCTGCCCAGCCGCGCGCAAAAGCCCTCGGGGCGCCCTTTCCGTAGCGCCCGCGGGGACCTCGCACCTTTCAGCTCTGGACTCCCCTTGCTCCCTGCCCTGCGAGTGGACGAAGAGCGAGGAAGACCTCACAGAGGTGATTATGTGTATGTGTGAGCAAAATATTTAGCATGTTAGCCACTTGTAAGTGTACAATGCAGTTGTATATGCCAGCATCCTCACCCAGCTATGAACTTCATTTTTCTCCAATTGAAACTCGGCACCCATTAAATAATTCCTGGTCTCCCCTACCTAACCTCTGGTAACCATTATTTTACTCTGTGTGTGCGTGTGCACGTGCGTCTTATTTCACGTAGGATAATGGCTTTGAGGTTCATCCATATTGTGGCATATTTAGATTTTGAGAAGGTGACTTTTGGAAAAGAGGAAGCAACTGGAGCAGATGCAAAGGCCCCGAGGCAGTAATGGGACTTGTGTATTAGATCAAAAGGCCGGTGCTTTGGGAGAAGATAGGGAAGAAATAGACTAGAGATAAGATAAATCTTGTGGCCTGTCTGGACAATGGAACAAGATTTAGCATTTACTCTGAGATAGGATGAAACTCCATCTCTACCGATCCTCCTTGGCTGACACGTGGGTAATGGGCGGGAGGGAGCAATGGCAGAGAAGGAGCGGGAGCCCGCTGAGGTCAATGCTGTTCTAACAGTGTGAGGACCAGAGAGGGCTTTTTAGGGGAGAGTTTTAAATTGAGGCCAGAGGCTGAGTAATTGTCAAAATGAGGAGCAATTTAAGTGTTGGAGAATAGAAAGTGAAGGTGAGGGCCCTCCCTGGTGGCACATCGGGTTAAAGCACTGCACTAAGAAGCTTAAGCCACTTCCACAGGAGTTCAGATCCCCGCCTGCCCCGGAGGTGACCACATGGCCCAGCAGACCTCTGTTGGCCCGACCGCTGCTCCCCTCAGCAGTGTACTTCGTAGATCTGCCTGTTCTGCTCCCTACTCTGTCCCTGGTAAATCCTCTCACCCTCCGCATCTCTGGCCTGTACCCCTGTACCCCAGTTCTATATGAATAAATAAATAAATCTTAAAAAAAAAAGAAAATTGAAGGTGAGCTTATCCAAAAACAAGTGTATGTGATTGGCAATTGTGGTAAACTACATGCTTCCCTCGATGGGAAGTTTCTTGGGGGAATAGTTGTAGAGTAAGCCTTTACTTAACAGGTGGACAGATATTTGGAAACCGCGGAACAACGCAGGATAAAACCAATTTCATCATAGACTAATTGATCAAAATACAAGTTCCTATGACATTTTTCTGGTCATAAAAACGTCACCAAACCTCTCAATAAAGACCAAAAAAAGTTATATTTTTTAAAGATTTATTTATACATACAGAACTGGGGTACAGGCCAGAGGTATGCAGGCTGAAACGATTCACCAGAACGGGCAGATTGACAAAATACTGAGGGGACCAGGGGGCGAGACAGGAGAGATCTGCCAGGTCATGTG